CCCCAAAACCCCAAAACCCCAAAACCCCAAAACCCCAAAACCCCTTAAAATAATTTTTACAAAATAAACTGCACAAATAAAATGAGAGAGATACTGCAATTCCAGATAGGTAACTGAGGCATCAATATTTCCCAAAAGATATGGGAAAAACTACTATATGAACATACTTGTGAAGAAGAGAAGCAGGAGGGGTACCTACAAGAGAAATATATGGACACGTACTTTAGACAACAGAAGGATGGAAAATGGACCCCAAGGTCTATACTTGCTGATTATGACCCTGAGAGCATCCAGGGAGTTATGAAGGGAAGTCTAGGGGAGGTTTATGACCAAGAAAATGCCTTCAGCGGTATAAATGGAACTATACGGACTTTTGCAGATGCTCATTATAATGAGAGCAAGTATATTATGGACTCTGTTAAAGATTCTATTAGAAGAGAAGTAGAGAAATGTGATTCAATGCAAGGGGTTCAGTTGGTTTCAGGGATTGGAGGAGGCACTGGTTCTGGGCTTGCTACATCTATACTGGTTTTCTTCAGAGAAGATTATCCAGATAAAACTGTTGATTTCACACCAATCTATCCGTCTCTAGGAGATGAACTTAAAGCCTTTGAAATTTACAACTGGTGATTTGCCATGCACCACTCAATTGAGTACTGAGACATGAGCAGACCAGCTGACAACCAGGCTCTTTATCAGACACTGTTCCGAACACTCAGAATCAAAGAATCAACAATGGATGAAATCAACAGTGCGATTGCTGACTCGTTCATCGATTTGACAGCTGGCATGAGATACCCGATGAGAAATTATCTTGATCTCAAGAAAATCTCAACCATCTTGAGACCATTTCCAAGAATGAGTCAATTTCTGCAAACTGTGAGGATTCCTTACAACAAAGATGAACGGAGCCAGTTTATTTCTGCTCTGCACCACCCGAAGAGTTATCTTTGTGGGATCAACCTTGCTGATGATAAACTCATATCAACTGCTGTGTTGCTCAGGAACCACACTGAAGTCGGCCAGAGGTTCACTACTGAGTTTTCAGATTGGAGACACAACAACAAAGACAAAATCAGACCCTTCGGGTTTGTCACTCCGCATTGCTTTATCGCTCAAGCAAAACTTGCGAAGGAGCAGGACGAGCCTTCTGGCTCCATGATCTGAAGCAGCGCTGCCATCAAAAAGTATCTCAGTAAATATGCTGACGCTTTTACAAAGCTGTTTGCATCAAAGCAGTTTGTCCATGTGTATCTGGAACAAGGCATGGATGAAATGGAGTTCACAGAAGCTGAGTCCAATGTCAACGATCTTATCTCAGAATACACAGAATACTCAGGCAACTACTACTCGGATGGTGAAGGCGAAGGAGAACTTGATACTGAAGACTAATCAACTGCTCAACTTCTGATGTTGACTGCTGTTGTGTCATCTCTGAGACTTTAGATATCAAGATATTTCAATTTCACAAATGTCAGTAGGGGTTTTGGGGTTTTGGGGTTTTGGGGTTTTGGGG